TGCAACATGCAATTGATGATCTAGTAATATATAATATTCTGTACAAGTACTTTTACTTTTTGTACTTTGAGTACTCTGTACTTTATACTTAAGGGGCGACATTGGCTCAGTCCATAGGGACTTGGGTAGGGAACCGGATGTTTGCCGTTTGTTCTAGTTTCTGTCCGGATCAAATATGGATCATGGACTGGCAGCTGGAGAGGTGCCAGTTTGCCTCCTGGACACTGCCAAGGCACTGCTGAACAAGGCACGAAATGCTCGGGGCGCCCGTCCATGGGCAGCCCCCTCATTCATGCATATATAGGTCCTGTTTGTGCGTGTGTGTGTTTCAGGCCTGTGCGTATATGACAACAGAGTGAAAAATTGAATTTCCCCTCAGGAATTACTAAAGTATATCTTCTTCTTTTGCAGGACTTTTACTTGTAACTGGGTATTTGTAGACTGTGGCATTATCACTTTTACTTAAGTAAAAGATCTGAGTACTTCTTCCATCACTGGTAATTACTGTGAAATATCTTTGTGTGACTTGTTCAGTTTTTTCAGTTGTCACCTCCCAGCTGCTGTCTCTTTTGAGAAGTCTAATGCAAAGTGATTTAAAGGTAATTAAAGCAAAGAATCAGCCAATGAATCACTTAAAGCTGCAGGATATATTATGTTACCAAGCCGTAGCATGTTAGTTCAGAGTCACGTTAGCTGAATGAAATTCTATTGCAGAAAGGAAATTGTTCTGCTTTGTGTAGCTTCAGTCTCAGTGGAGCCTGAAGGGGGACTGAAGGAGGAGAGAGGAGAAGAATGGATGTACAAGTGTCACAGAGAGAGGAGTAAAGAGAATGTGTAACCTTATGAAAGAGAGAGAAATGAGATACAGAAAGACAGTACAGTGTGAGAAGGAGTGGAGGAATTAAGTATAGACTGAGCCAGATAGAAAAGCTGGCAGCTAGGAGCGGAGGTCAGAGGTGAGGATCCGGTGTAACAGTAGAGGAGGAGCAGAAGTTTTTGATGGCACTTCTCACACTTTCTGGTGTAAAAGGAAACCTCAGGATGCCACCCTTGATGCATTCATCCTGCTACTGCTACTGCTGCACTGCTTTAAATACTTTCTGAAACTGTGAAAATTCAGATCTCAGAATACAAGGTGCAATTTAGAAGAAGAGATCTAGTTTGGAAATAGCAAAACATTTTTTTAAAACAATCTCTCTAGTATCTGTTTTTTAGTAAGCTGGATTTTTGTTTTTGATACATATATTATCACCACATATCCGCGAAGAGCCCAGATCTCATGAAGTGAGCATGTTTGATTGTGATGTCGATACATTCCCAGATACATAAAACATTTGAGATTGTAGAGACTCTCTTTTGATTCTCTGTAAAGTGTACTTAAGTTGTAATTTAGTGAACAACAAAACGGTACTAACGATAAAAAAAATTAAGACAGGTGGAGGAGCAGGTGATACAGATAATAGCTTGATTACAGAATGATGTTGTGCATGCTGCGTCATGTCACTCCTGTCTGCTCCTTCAGAAGGCACAAGACAAAATATTGGGCCTTGATTCAGTATGATACAGTTTGAGTTAACAAATAAAGGTGGCGTCTATGTGCAGCTCTCCTTCTCTAGTAGGAGAAGCACCACCACTTACGCTGGAAAGAGGTGAATGATTACCAGATCTGATTCACTCCTCTCCTCCACTCATTTACACTTATATTACTTGTGTGCACCATCAACTCTCTGAATCATATTTTCCCCCTGATAACCTCTTACATAATTCCCAAGCCAGTATTTTTATTGGTTCAGAGTCAAATCTCCATACAAGGGCTTGTTGGCCTGAACACATGTGCCAAACTACTGAAGTCACAAAGATGTTAAATAACTCATAGAAGCAGTAAGATGCAAAGAATAAAACAGCGAAAGGTTTTATCATCCCTGTAGGGCAGATGCATGTTTAGTGGAAATATTTTTACTGGGAGACAGCATGTCTCATGAGCTCCTGCTGATTGTGAAATGAGTGTTCTGTCTTTGCAAAAATCCTCGATCAAGCTGCTCTTGAGCAGGAAACTTAGCCTCCAGCTGCTGTGTGGTTGTGCAAAAGGTAAAAAAATCACAAGAACTACAAATAAAAATACACACTGGGCATGAGTCTCCACACCTGCACTGCCCCCTAGTGTTTAATCTGCATTATACAACAATATACTTGTACAGTCTATGCTGGCAGCCTCTCCTACACACAAACATCATGTGTGTTCATGTGTATGTTTGTGTGTGTGTGTACACGTGTAATAAAGACAAGGTAGAGATGGAAAAAGCAATAAAAAAAATTACCAGTGTGAGTTTCCATTTATGGCTCATTTGTTTCTGCTGTGGAAACTGGCAACATTGTCTCCCCTGGACTAATTGTGTTTGTGTTATATTCTCAGTGACTTGCAGAAAACACGCTCACGCTAAATAACATGAGTTGGGGGTTTCGACACTCACATTGCTGAACACTTTCACGTGTCATGGATCAGAAACAGCTGAAATTACACTCTGGATCTAAAACAAGTACAGGAAGAAAGATATTTTGGGATTAAAGTTACATACATGCACACATATATGACACCTGCACCGTGTACATGATAGCATAGCATAGTAAAGACATGTATAAGAGGAGAGGATCTTCCCTTATAGAGGCTGGAACATGACACCACATCCAGTTGCTATAAGACAGAGAGAAAGGGACATTCCAGACCTCTTGACATATATACGATTACAGATCATGTGTGAATGTCTGTGATGCACGGTGGACCATGTGTGGCTGTATGTCAGCCTGTCCACACTAGTGTTAGTCATTGTGGACATCCTACTGTGTGCTGGGTTTCACTGAACCGCCGCTGCACTTTGGTTCTGTCAGACAAAAAGATATATGAAAGGTTACATAATGCTGTCCAGAATAAGATGCTATTTAATGTTTAACCTTCACTTTGAAACTATTTAAAAAGTAAGAAATACTGATTGTATGTGCATGATTTAGACAAAAAGATGCACAGAAACTAACACGCAACACTTTGTGTCACCGACTCTTTGAACTGCTGCCATCTGGCAGGTGCTACGGAGCTGCCAAAACACGAAACCACCAGATTCAGAGACAGTTTCTTTCCATAGCCATCAGCACACTAAATAAAAAAAATATCAGATAATGTTTACCACTGTCATTCTGCCATCCACTGAGCACTTTGCTGCACTTTTAATACTTTTATATTTATCTTTTTATAGGATTTTTATCACTCACTGAGCACCCTGTGTCTTGTGATTTTATATTCTTTGTTGGAATGAATCAGTAGAGTGTCACGACTAATTTTGTTGTATTTCTGTGCATTGACAATAAAGGCGTTTTAGTTCTAGTTCTAGTTTTGTTTTTGCTCCCATTTTTCACAGGTTTACGTCAAAGATCAAAGACTTTGATGTACTCAAAAGACTTATTTCTGTCAAAGTCTGGTCCCAGATTTGTTTGAGCACTTCTCCTTCTCCAAGATAATTCATCCACCTGACAGGTGTGGCATATCTGCAGTCCCTGCAGTCAGCATGCCAGTGGCACACTCCCTCAAAGCTTGTGACGTCTGTGGAGTCAGGTGATAAAAACTTCACATTTCTGAGTGGCCTTTTATTGTGACCATCCCAAGACACACCTGTGTAGTAAACATGCTGTTCAATCAGTGTCTTGTTAGCCACACCTGTCAGGTGGATGGATTCTCTCAGAAAAGAAGCACTTACAAACATGGATTTTACCAAATTTGGGACCAAAGTTTGATAGAAATAAATCTATTGAGTGCATAAAAAGTCTTAGATCTTTAACTTAAACATGTGGAAAGATGGGAACAAAAATACAGTTGTTTCGTGAAAAACATGTTATGAACATCTTATATTTTTATTTCATTTATATCATAATTCAATATATAGACATAAAGTCAAATTTCTGTGTTCAGCCTATATTTCTAAATCTTTTTTTAATATTACAGAGATATCATTGAAGTGACACAAATGTTTTGTCATTCTACGCAGAGGTCTATTTGTAGACCAGCTACTTTAAGTATAATTCACATTTTGTCCTGACATTGTAGAGCATTGTCATTGTTTCATTCAAGCCTTCAATCAAAGTGTTTAGAAATCTAACACAAAAAAGCAGCACTTGGAGCAAACTATTTAAACAGTGTTTTCTCATCAGTATTTTATGCATTTACATTATTTGGAAAAGACAGCGCACCTCTGACCTTATTGCTTTCAGCTGTCAGACAAATACTCTCAACATTACTTCAGTGGCATAACATGATCATATTAAAATTAACAGCCATCTTCAGGTAAGTTTGATCACCTGAGAACAAGCTGTTGCTTTTGATCATTAGGTCTTTCTGGAAGTTGTTCCTACTAGATTTGACTGCAGCATGAATACATCAATGAGGCACTGAAAATATGTACTACACATTAAAAGATGTTTTTCCTACATCCTATTTGTCTCTGCTTTAGTGTCAAGGCTGCTACTCAGTTCAGTGTTATGTTATAATATTTCATTTTACTTTATTTTATTTTATTTCATTTTATTTATTTTACTTTATTTTATTTTATGTTTCATTTTATTTTATTTTTTTTTATATTTTCCTTTATTTCAATTTATATTTTATTTTGTTTTATTCTTATCTATTTTATTTTGTTTTATTTTATTTTATATTATATTAAACACAATATAAACTACAAAGCACTCAAAGAGCACATATCTCCCCAAGACTCCTAAACTTGTAATTTTAATGAAAGAAAACATTTAATCAGCATTTGGACCAGATTTTGTATTAAAACACACCTAACAATACACAGTGATCCTAAATCAGTGATAATGTTCATGATTTTTGCAAATGTCTAAATCTTGTCTGTGAATATCTTGAGTTTTGTATGAATAAAACATTAAGTTATGGTCTACATATTTAAATAAATCACGTTGTGCTAACCATTCATCCAAACATATAAAGTACCAGATTTTGTGTAGATCAGATAAACTGATAGAAGTGGTGAGAAAATGTTTAATGAAATTCCGTGCAGACAATAATACACACTGGTAAAAGGAATCCAGGGAGAGACAAATGGCACCCACTCCTCATGATTCAAGAGAAATGAGTAAAACAAAGTGCTTCATAAATGGCCACACAGTGGCACCATTGGATTCACATTCACACCTGAAATTACACCAATTCCATTAATACTTTTAAAGCAGTTTTTTGAGATATCAAACAAAACATCAGACAGAAATGCAAACAAACACGACCAAAAGCAAAACCTCCTTGTTCAAGATAACAACAAGTGAGGGAGTGATGCGCACAGGATCCCATTTTAACAATCATCAGACAGAATCAAATAAAAATCTACAATGGGTCTTAAGTACTTTAGTGGCTCGTAGAATGTACTGGTGTTGTAGCTTTGAGCATGGTGCCATTTCTGCAGCTTTTATCCCCTCTGTCCCATCATCACATTCATTATCACAATAAAAAACACAAGCTCACAATAAAAAAAAAATCTTTGAAACTTTATAAACTCCAGTGTCAGCTCACTCAAGTCCGTGAGGCAGTTCAGTAAACAACACTGTCCATAACTTCAACACAGCCACAGTGTGATGGTCCTGGTTTATTGCTGTGACTGTGTTTGTGGTTGAACCATGTCCGAGGGAGGTGGAGGTGTGATGGGATACACAGGGACGCTGTACTCTGTGTAAGCAGGGGGAAGATCCTCAGGCTTCAATCCAAGCTGAAACACACAGACAGAAATGCAAAGTTAAAATCTGAATACCAGAAAACACATGCTGAGGTAAATGTTCATTTTACAGTAAATTTTGAAGGCAAAAAGAGCTGTAGGCAAAATCAGAATGATTATTTGTGTCATTTTGTGCCATAATCACCTCATTATAGGAAGGTGGGGGCCCACTGTAGGCTGCATTGCTATACTGTGGTGGTGTGTGGTTCTCTTGGCTATATCGAGGTGCCCTGGGGTGGTCATCGCCGTCCTGGTGTGACATGCTCCCATGGAAGGGGATGAAATATATTGGAGGAGGGCGCCCGTCCTGCTCAGTGCGACGCCACACCTCCCTCTCTATCTGCTCCTCCCTGTAGCGACTGCACGCCCTGCAGAAGGTCGTGCAGAACATGATGGAGAGGCCGAAGCCCAGCATGCCCAGGAAGATCCTTGAAGAGACAGTAGAGGTGGAGGAGATGGGTGAAAAACATTGGAAGATGAAGAGAGGAAAGAGAAAGGTAACGAAGGAAGTGTCAACGGGGAGATGGATGAGTGAGAGGAAAGACAGGAGCCAAAAAATACAGAAAAATAAATAAATAAAACCGCAAACCTCTGAAAATAAATTGAACTACAATGCAAAAACACCTGTGCAGTTAACACACATAATGAAATATAAGGGATTTTTACATGCCTTTCAAATTCCAAATAAGTTTATCTAAATGTCTTCTAGTAGAGTTTATACCTCTCTGGGCTCTAGCGAACCCCAACCCTATGTAACATCATATGTAGGATAACATACTGTACATTTCTTTGTCTCTGAATGACTTTTTGGCACAGAAAATGAACATTATATTTGTAATACACAGCCCAGATAACATAAAACATTGAATAAGTCATAGAATTATTTCTATTGTTGCCACCTCCATCAAATGTGCAAGCTCAGTTTGTGGTAAAGAGCAAGGTTAGCACTCAATTTTTCAGTTATTCTCAATCTTATACAGCACATCCAGCTGTTGGCTCTGTGGGACCATCAAATGACGAAGTAAGGTCAGCAAAACAAAAGGGATGAATTAAAAGAAACTTGTAGATGAAAAGAAATGCGTCTTACTCTAGAATGGGAATGTAGTCAAATGGCATCCTCGGAGCTTTGTGGATAAACTCCTGAGTCCGAAAAACACGGAATAAACCTGAAGGGGAAACAGGCACAACATTTAATACTGATACAGCCATCCATCACACCCTTACATTCATGTAGCTGCCAAGCGGCAATGTCAGGGGCTGAAGAGCAAATGCAGTTCCTCAAATGGCCACATGAGGCTGGCTCCAGGACACAGGCAATCCCAAAATACCAGTCTTTATGGCAGATATAACCAATTACTTTGAGTGACAGGTGGTTGCCATCGGTTGATAAGTTGCGACAACTTTGGCTAACCCTTCCACGCACAGTTGTCACTACAGTGTACAGCAATTTAAAAGCCTTTTTCTTGTATGTGCATTGGTTTTGATACTGTAGTTGCATGTAATTCACTACAGTGGACCCTAGCACGTGATGCCATACACTGCCACCCACTGGCCAGGTGTTGTAAGTGCAACACACAGCTCTCAAAACCAAGATGGCCGACGGGATGCAGCAAATGTTGTGCAGCTCAGGAATATTTTGCCAATCCTTCTCTACTAGGAGACCCTTGCTGCTAAATACAATTTGGTAAGTAAGTGGTTGAGTAAAGATGTAGCCATAGCTGTTAGCTGCTATTTTATTGTGTTTTCTGTTGATGAAAGTTATCTGAACATCTTGTTCAGTTTTTGTTTGTACTAAAAGATGCTTTCAGGAGTTGGAGTTGGATGTTTAGTTTTTATGCTAGGTCCATTTTGGTTAAGTGGTTTTAAGCCTGTTTTTGCAAGTGAAAATTAGCATTAGCATTATCACATTTAACTATAGACTGTAGCTGGCAGCTGGCAGCTAGCACTAAGGTAGCTCCACCCTCTCGTCCAAACACGGTGTCTTCTAGCTCCAAAAATCTAAGATGGCGACGGCCAAACTCAAGGCTTCAGAACAGGAGTCTACAAACCAATGGGTGACATCATGGTAACTATGTCTCTCATTTTTATACCATCTATGATAGCTGATTAACTTTATAGACTGGAAACATGCTCGCCTTGTATTACTGTTTTAAGGTGTGGCCATGATGCAAAAGTTTCCACATTTGTTTTCCTCCACCTGACCAACACAAAGATATACTTTGAACTTAAGACTAAATGTTTTGTCCAAGACACCATGATCCGAGAGTATTTTATTGCCTGTCTGTACTAGGTGGAGAGATACTAGACTTATAGATCTCTCACTGGAGGACAGTTTCGCCCGCAGTAACCTCATAACGTTTAGGGTTGGTGTTATTATGCAAAGATCTGATGATTGCATTTGTTCCACTAGGCTTGGGAACCTGTCAGGTCATCAACAGGAATATTAAGGTAATAGTTTATAAGGAGGTCAGGTGTTGATGTCAAAGCCTGGCACAGCATAAGGTGTGGTCTAAATTTTATTGAGCCTTGTTCTTGAATTTGTCATAAACTAAGAAGGGTTAGGGTTAGGTTAGGCCTTTTTCACATAAGGAATTTTGACATGGCACAGAAGGAACAATACAGGTGTAAATAATGAAATAAATGATGGCTGAATTCCATTTAGCTGCTTTGATTTCAGGATCCTTGTATCCTGCATGCTCACTGTCACTCTCACTGACACTTTAATACAGCATTATTAGCATTAATAGCTACACCTGTGCTTTTCCTATTATGACAAGTGAAAATGATTTCTGTTAGAAAGGCCTATTACCTGAAAACTGTATTGTTATAAGCTAAAAAGTGGGCTGTTCTTGGTTTATGAAAAGCTAATGTTCTAGACAGGGTTGGTTAGTAATAAAGTAGGCTACATATAATCTGGATTACATGATGAGGGCACACAACATAAGTAAAATAAGTCACTATAAACATTGTTTTATCAGATTATAGTTACATTACCAAGGATAACTTGATTATATTTTTGATTCTGTCTTGAAAATATGGGAATTTTGAAATTACAATATTTTTTACGTGATAACCAATGCTCTATATAACTCATGAAAAGCATGTCTGACATTGAGGGTTTCTCAGATGCATGCTCCACTTCATCGCCGTAATTGTGGTGGGATGTTTCGTTAATGCAGTGTGTTTCAGGGTAAGCATTTAGTGCGAGTGAATGCAGCCCCAGACCTGCCTATTGGCTTATTTTGATCATTTCAGTAGAACATTTGGTGTATTTCGACATCATGTCTCTGTCCTTGTTTCAGTAACGAGTCTGTGTGCCCTGTCTCTAATTTTCAACTCAATTTAAGGTTCTTGAAAAAGTATTTCCTAGGGCGCTGACGGTCCTCTTCCTACTTTTTCCACTTACTGCCCTCGCCACAAAATTAATTTGATGTGACCAACTGTAACTGCTTTTATTTACACTGAAAATGTTTTCAGATATTTAAGACAAAACAAATGTTTGGGGAACTTCAATGTTTGTGGCTACGGCCATTTTTTTTTAATTCTAAGGTGCAATATTTTCAATATTTGAGTTTAAAGTAATACAAAATTCAGATTAGATTACATCATTTTTTTGTAATCCATAAATTTGCATTACTACTAACAAAAAATGCCATGTAATTTGTATTTAGTAACTGATTACATGATTTTTTTTATTATTAATATTTTATTTTATTTTTTCATACATTATTTTTTCAAGCCCATTTTCATATAAACAGCTTATTAGCTTTTTAGTTTACAGTTCCTTACAAAAACATTTTTCGGTCAGTGTTAAAGGGAAAATAAATAAAGAAAAATATGAAAGATATAAACAACCAATACACTCACAGTTAAATAACGATAGAAAAAAAGGGAAAAAATAGTTAAAGACATGTGGGCTAACTAATAGCAGAAGATAATAACTAATACGTTCTAATAATCTCCTACACTTTAGTAGTAACTGAAGTAATCTGACCCAACATTGTTTTGGGACAGCAACAAGGACACAGGACAGCAACAAAATGACACCAATCAGGTCAGCAGTCAGACTGTCACATGCTATTAGTCATCAGATTAGTCACAGGTAAAGCACTGCTCATGTCATTTATATCAAATGAGCGTTAAACAGCTTCAGATCAACACCCCAAAAAGTGTTCCAGACACATGGGACACATTTCCCTGCCTCAGGATCTACTAACCTACAGTGCAACCAACTCACTGTTATCAAGCTGTAACTGCTACTATACTGTTGCTTAACTTCCTGTCATACGAGGTGGAAATTACAAGGAACTGTGCGGCTGTATATTCAGCGTTTATCACAGATTTCAATCAATGTTTTGATGTGTGCTAGCATCAGCTTCTCAAGGAAGGAGACAGATTTTGATCAGAACTGACTGAACGTTCAGCCTTTGCCGCCTGAACTCTTAGTGCGGATCAAGGCAAGGCAAGGCAAGGCAAGGCAAGGCAAGGCAAGGCAAGGCAAGTTTATTTGTAGAGCACAATCCGTACACAAAGTAATTCAAAGTGCTTTACAGAACAAGAAAATGCATTAAAATCACAATACAAAATAAAAACATAAATAATCATTATAAAATGAACTTTAAAAGAGAAGAGTGCAGATAAGATCCTTTCAGTCATATGCACAGTGAAATAGAGCTGTTTTGAGCCTAGATTTGAACATTGTCTGAGTAGAGGCCTGTCTCACATCTTCAGAAAGACTGTTCCAGATTTTAGCTGGATCAAGTCCTCAACATGATGTTTAATCTGTACGCAGAGGGAAACAAAAACCCTGTCCATATTTTCAAGTGGCCTAAACATTACCTAATTATTTATGTTCTTAGAATAGAATAGAGTGCTGAATTAAACAAAGACAACCAAACAACAACAACAACAAAAAAAAAAAGCCACAGAAATCGAGTTAGGAGAGGTCAAAATTCACATCACATGATCAGTGAGCACATTGGACCAGGTGCCACGTCTGTTAATACTGACTAAACAAACAAATGGCTCCAAGTAAACTTTCTTTGAGATCATCAGATTAAATTTGATCAGTTTTCAGTAGTTCAGCTCCACATTTCACAGACAGGAAGCAGAAAGACAAACTCCAGGCTCTTACCTTCAGTCCAGAGACGTGTCTCTTCAGGTGTGCGACTGGGAGGGAAAACTCACTGGAGCAGAGTGCAGTTTCTATTGTGGGTGCTCTGATGAGGGGGCGGTGTGTCTGTTTGTGTGTGTGTATGTGTGTGTGTGTAAAGGCGCTGAAGTGAGTTCAAAGCCCAGTATGTATATCAGCCCCTGAAACACCCTCAGAAACTAAAGCAGTCTTTATTTTATTAACTGTGTTTAAACTTATGCTTCTCTTAAACATAAGTGTTATTTGTATGAATATATGCTCACATATTTTAATGTATGTGTGTGTGTGTTTTATCAGTTGGTAGGTGTGTTTTATTAGTTTGTGCTAAAGGTCCATCAGAAGAATTTATGGCAGCATTAGAGGATTTAAAGTAACAGCTACCTTCCTCCACAAGGCCTCAGCTGAGAGATAAGGTGCCTGAGAAAAAAAGAGCAGATTAAAACTCCTAAAAAAAACATTCATAACCTGCAACTGAGAGGCTAAACGTTTGTTTCCCAAGTCAAGCGAACCTATATTTTGAGGTTAATCTGTGTTTACTTGAGGAAAAAGTCAATACTGGTACTCCAGAGTCAAAGCAACAGGTGAAGACACCGCTCTTTTATCTTTGGTCTGAGACACTGCCAAAGCACTTTGTCCTTTCTCCTAACATCCTGAGGGAACAGTAGACAGAGATTGAGCCATGTGTGCACGTAAACCCTCATGAGATTGGTGAGAGTGGTCATGCCAATTTATTTAAAAAAAAAAAACAACAAAACTTGACCCACTTAGCTTTAGCAGGGTGAAAGCATGACTTCATGGGATCTTTTTGTGACTAAATTTGAGCGCTGTGTCTTTTATTTAACTAATTATTATTACTGTTATTGGATCAGGTTTAAAGGGGCACTCCAGCAGTTTAATACTGCACTTCCATAAAGGAGGGGCACTTGCAAAAGACGGACACAGTGACGAGCCTCCAAAACCTCTGCATCCTACATTTACCATAATGCAACTCAGCACCCATGCGTCTCCATCTCCAAACTAAACCAATACACACAGCTTTATGCTGTTGGCTGTGGTGGCTCACACTGTTATGCTTGGCACCTTGTCATAGAAACATCAGTTTGCTGTGGACGTCCATGTTTTCCAGAGCAGAAGCGCTCAAACACAATCAGATTGAAGTCCGGAATACTGACTCCACATTGACTTGCAATTAACTGCAGCATTATAAACGCCACGTCTGTTTTCCAAGCAGGCTTTCTGTTAAAAATTTGTAGTCTTCAAACCCAAGCAGAGATAACCCCTGATCACCTCACTGTGACATTATCATAGGTGACATCATTTTCAGAGACTTGACATGCAACTGTTGTCATCTGCCAAATTGTTCCCCTTTACAGACAAGCACTCCTGGAGTTGTTCAGCCTCCTGCTCTAGTTTTTATTTATACTGTGCCAGTGTGTGTTTCGTGTGGCTGCGTAGAAACACAGGTGATTCAACAGATTGTAAAATCACCACCCAAGCCTGGATACGTGATTTTTACTGCTGGCAAAGTGTCTGACTGGCTGATCAGATTGGAAAGGTACAAAGGTTACAGCCATATAACTCCCAGGGCTTCACATGCAAAGGCTAACAATATTACTGAGATAAAAAATATTACAATACAATAAAAAAACAAAAATACTAATAGAAATTTAGTCAAATTTACTTTATTAATCCAATATCTAATGAAACCAACACATACCATCCTTACAAAATAACTGAATTTCCATGAATCCTGGCCAACACATGATTTTACAGTAGCATAAAGATAAGGCAATCACTGTTGTGTTGCAAAAACCAAAGACTTTTTTGTAACAAACCTGATGATGCACGTTCTTTTGCCAGTTATTCGTGAATTTCAACAAAGTTAAAAATGCTACCAAGAGAGTCCAGTGATGTCAGAATTCATGTTCCCAATATTGGAAACTTAAGCAAATAGTGCAAAGAAATTGTATCTGATCTGATCTTACAGCAGTGTGTTCTTGAATTTTGAAAATATTTATGTTGATTACAGTTCAACACCTTTGACTGTGCAAAAGTCTAAGAAGTGCATTATGGAAAATTTTGTTACAAACAATTGTTTCACGGTGCAGCTGCAGCATTTTTACAGAAGGTTAGAGGCAGCCTTTTCTTCCTGAAGGGAATGTTCCTTCCTTTTATTTATTTATGTTTGGCTTTGTTTACAATAGGTGAGAAGGAGTGGTCTGATGCCTAAATAATATTTACTATTTGTACAACAACGTACATTATTCATTCCGCATTCATAACGCAGCACTGATGAAAATTAACTTCACACAGGAAACCCTGCATTAATTTTTTTTTTTTTTTTAAATCTTAACATCACCCACACCCACTTCACGAAAAAACAAACAAAAAAAACAAAAAAACAAAAAAACATGCACACACACACACACACACACCCCGACAAACATACAAACACACACAGTCAGCTCTGAGCACACAAATGTTCGGGTGTCAAGAGTGCTTTCACTCTGCTTTTTTTCTCACTCATGTCACCTCCTCAAACCTTTACCATTTGCGGCTTCTTTGAAGAAATCTACATTACCTTAGATCTCTTGAACCTGAGACACATCTCCATCAAACAACAGTTTGAGGCTTTAGTTTACAGAGGTGGCAGAACGTCATTGTTTTGCAAGTCACAATTAAGTCCTAAGTGTCAGGTCAGTCAGGTAAGGGGAAATTAAAAGTATGCATGACACAGCATTCACATGTTTTTGTTTGTTTTGTTTTTTATCTTTATGTTTGGAGAGGGAAAGTTAAAAATTGAAATTTAAGGTTGTTTTAATTTTTGCTTCAAATGTAAAGTCATCAAATTTGTGATTTAAGTCTGACTCCAAGAGATGCTTCAAGCTGTGCTCGCAACCGTACCTCTTGTAGTTTCTGTCTTAAGCAACGCAACTGTCCAAACTTTCCTGGAGCTATAAATCTTCATGCACAATTCTGTGGCTGCGTTTGTCCAGCCAGGCCTGCAGCACAGGAAGGTTGGCGTCCATCCAGCGGATGTTATCTTCGATAGTCTCGTAAGCCTGCTGGATACACCTCATCTCTGAGCCCGTCTCTTCAGTCAGAGAGCCAAAGAAGCTGCGTACCTGAGCACATACAGGGTAGGTAGACTTATAAACATGTCCAATATTTGAGATAACTTCGGCAAAACTGATTTAATAAATACGCTAGCCAAGAGCAAAGAAGTTAATTCTGTGTAGTCAGACAATGCACAATTTTAATTTCTACAGTTACTAAGTGACAGATTCAGAGGAATGTACTGTATTTAGCTACTTAGAATGGCACGCTGCTGTTGAAAGTAGTCACCAGCTCTCACCACACTGATTTACAAGCTGCTCTTCTAGGCTACTAATTATGTTTATCATTTTAATCAGTATTTAATAAGAGTTTTGTGTTTGAATAGCTCATATATATTAGGAAGATAATTACATTTAAAAAAAGATAGAAGACAAAAAAAAATTGAGGGACATAACCACATTCTTGTGGCAAGAGCAAACACTTTCTGTAAACAGACATAAGTAATGGAAGTCCAAAAGTATGAACACAGCCCTCCTTACCTCATCGAACATCTCCCTGGTAGAATACTGGTTGGTCACCCCAGTCACCAGGTATGAGATGGTGCTTGAGCCCAAGTCAAATCTGTGGCATCAAAGCAGAGACAAAGTTCAAAATTCAGAGTAACTGTTAACATTTCATGGAAAACAAGCATTTTAAGACCTCAATACGAACAAAAGCCAACTTATGGAGTTCTCAAAAACAACTGACTGCCTGCAAAAATACTGAAATTTAGATGCAGGTGATTTAACTATCTACAGGAATTGTATGACATCATTTTTTTTAAAGGGACAGTTCACCCCAAAATCAAAAAGACATATTTTTCCTCTTACCTGTAGTGCTATTTATCAATCTAGATATTTTTGGTGTGAGTTGCTGAGTGTTGGAGATATTGGCCGTGAAGATCGGCCATAATCCTGCCTTCTCTCAAATAATGGAGCGAGACGACACCTGGCTTGTGGTGCCATTTGAAAAACTCAGCAACAATGTCTCTTTCCAGAAATCATGACCTGGTTACTCAAGATAATCCACAGACCTTGTTGTGAGCAGTTTCATGAAGGAACTATTTTCCCTCAACCAAACTACACTTGCCAACTGCATCACCGCACAGAGAGAGATGTGCATCTACGCATGGACGAGAGGCTCATGCTCATGACAATGCGAGATGTAAACATTAATGGGATCCTCCTCAGCTGAGCTGTAATGTTTGTTAGCTCAGTTGTGCTAGGTAAGCTAGCAGTAGATGCACGCTTCCCTCTGTGTGGTGATACGGTTGGCTGGTGTAGTTTGGGAGAGAGAAAATCGTTCCTACATGAAACTGCTCACAACAGGGTCTGTCGATTATGGAGTTTTTAAAATGTATTTTTTGGCGCTCTGAGCACCACAAGTTGTGCCATCTAGTTCTATTATCCTGGAGAGAAGGCCGATAACTTTACAGCAGATACCTGTAGACTCACACCAAAATAATCCAAACTGATAAATACCACAACAGGTAAGAGTAAAAATATGTACTTTTGATTTGGGGGTGAACCGTCCCTTTAAAATGATCTTGTTTTAATATGTTTTGCCCAACGCTCTTGGATTACATATAGTTGCAAAACTTGTGTAAAAGAGAGGAATGTATATGATATGTATGACATGTATGATGGGCTGACTGACTTCTTGATCAGGGTGTGCCAGTTGGCTCGGAGGAAGTCCCAGGCCAGTTTGTAGCCACGGGGGTTCTTGCTGATGGAGACGATCACGTCTGGGAGGTCCTGCGTCTTCATTATCTCCCCGTGGAGGCTCTGCTCCATCATCCTGTAGACGGAGATAAAAGGTGAACATAAAAAAATAGTAACAGTGGGGAGTGAGTGTAAAAAGAAAGGGAAACTAAATGCTCCCAGAAGTGTAATACAATGGACCCACCATTGGAGCTTGTCCTGCAGTGGGCTGACGGCCATTGCAGTCTTCATGCGGCTCTTTACAGACATTTGCAGTGAAGTGCGGTACTTCTCAAACAGGAAGTCCCACCCCTCTGGTGTACGAGCTCCAATCACAAACACGGCCATGGTGATGTCAACAGGGAGGCTAAAGACAGGGAAGGTTTCCAGCTCAGTAACAACTATCTGAAAACATTTCATCCCTACATACAAGTGCTTATAAAAATTGAACGCTCAGTATACAGACAGTAATTGTGAGGAAGAATCGTGCGCTATTTTATCACCACTGACCTCATGGTGCCGTCAGAGTCCTTCCACTTGTTGAAGAGCTCGGTGGCTTTGGCCACACAGGGTTCGTAGTTCCTGACGCAGCCGAACAGCAGCAGGTAGCTCCTCAGCACTCGCTCAGACACTGATCCAGAGTCAGTCCACTCCTGCCGAGCGATCAGCCCCCGGAACAGATCCACAATGTAGCCCTGAGAAACACATGCAGTCGGTATATGAACTTATTCATAATCAGTCCATTCTCAGTCAAGTTTTAACTTAATTTTTTATTGAACTGTTGTATTCTGGTTCCTGAGAGGAATTTTGCTTTGTTTAAACTGCCAGAAGTTAAAGGAGCACTCTGCTTATACAACATGTGCACAGTCCATTGTTTTCCAGGCTTTTCCAGTGCTTACGCAGAGAACCATGACTAAGTGTGGATGGTTTTCTTTCTACACAGAAGCAGCACTAGAAGTTTAAAGGTTCCTTGTGGAGTTAGTGACTTCTAGTTGCACTATGGAGCAGTTTTTCCATAAGTGGGCTTTTTGTTTGTCTCGTGCACACGGACGCACATGCACCTTCCTGCCAGTGGTTTTACAATATTCCACTGATCAACAGGTGGCAGTAATGAGGCATAAAATGCAGCAATGCACCAGTAAAAGCAGTCAGTGGGCAGTTGGGTTTCCACTTGTTTCTGAAGTTTCAGCATCTGTAGTCATCACTCTTTTCTATGTTTGTTTGGCCATAATAACCTTTTGCTTGCTACGCTAGCAGAAACCAGAAAAAACAATATGCTGCTTCACACACACGTGAGTTAAAGTGATAGTGCACCCAAAAATGGAAATTCAGCCATTATCTACTCACCCATATGCCGAGGGAGGCTCTGGTGAAGTTTTAGAGTCCTCACAACACTTACGGAGATCCAAGGGGAGAGGAGGTAGCAGCACAACTGCACACCTAATGGCTGACGGCGCCCCAGATTCAAACGTCCAAAAACACATAATTGAAACCACAAAATCGTCAGCACAGTGTACAGAGAGGCAGTTAGAGCTGCAGGCTACAATGAGGCTAAAAACAGAGTTCAAATGACGTTTTTCCAAGCAACCTTTTATGTCGGGGCTTCAGGACAAGCAGTATGGAGGTATTTTGAGGTTTCAATTATGTGTTTTTGGACGTTTTAATCTGGGTCGCTGTCAGGCGTTAGGTGTGCCGTTGTGTTGCTACCCCCTCTCCCCTCGGATCTCCACAAGTGTTGTGAGAACTCTAAAACTTCACCAGAGCCTCCCTCGGCATATGGGTGAGTAGATAATGGCTGAATTTTCATTTTTGGGTACACTATCCCTTTAAAGAGTGAGCCTCTTGTGCTATCTCCTTCTACCCTCTGGCAGACCAGCCACTGTTGGTTAACGGAAAACCCGCCACTACCTGTGCACCACTACTGATTTTCTTCCAGGAATGTTGCCACAGCCACAGAAAATGTTCGAGATTATTACTTGAAGGCAGACTGGTATGCAAGACTTTATGCATTTTATAAAAGTACATGGTCTGTTTTGTGCCATGCTGCCTTCACTTACCTTCATCTGGTTCTCCAGAGCAGCCATGTCTCTCTTCTCCATCAGTTTGTAGAGAGGTACGAGCTCTCCAAAGCCCTGAGTCACGGCCATGATCTCAGTCTCTTTGGACAGGTACAGAGACAGCTCCAGCGCCGTGTCCAGCCTCACCGTCTTTGTACTGTGACACATGACAGGTCAAACATTTAATTTAAGTTTATTTTAAATATTTAAATTACCAACACTCCCTTTTCTATGACAATGATGGTATGTGGCTAATTGCTTTTTCTTATGGGAACTGTCCGCTGGATTTTAATTCAGCTCCTTCACTGAAACTACAGTTATTTTGTGATGCAGAAAAACAGCAGATGAAACTGTTATTGTCAGATCTTTTAACAGACCTGACCAGCTGGAAGACGTTGTGGATGAGGCTGGCACGGTCGTTACCGCTCAGGGCCGTGTGGTTGTGTTGCAGCAGTTTGATAATGGAGTTCCACCCCTCGCCTGCATAGTGAACCATGTAGTAGCCGCTCATGTCCACATTGAACTTCACCCAGTCCACCTCCTCCGGCAGGTACAGGACATCTGCATGAAAGAGAGGAACCATGATTGACAAGGACTTGTAGCGTTAATTTTTTTATGAATAATAAAGGATAAAGAATATAAATACAGCAATATAAAAATCAGCCTCATCACACTGACTGAGCAACACACTCACCAGTTTTTGTTTTGAGCAGGAAGCGATGGACAGTGTTGGAGGCGCTGGTCATGTAGGTCAGTGGGATCTGCCAAAGGAATCTAACAACACAAAATGATCATTTAAAAAAATACTAATTTTGAATAAAATGGAGCACCCACTGAAACTAGACTTCAGATGCTGCTACACTAATACATCCAGAATGGAGCTGTTCAGCTGGTGTAGCGTTAAGTTTCTACTAAAGCATGTGCAGTATTTGAAAATTCCTCCCTCTGACACAATCTGGTGGTCGTATAGAGAACGACACTTTAAAGTTTAAAGTTTACTTCAAATGCAGGAAAAGGGATGTCTGCCATGACTGAGACTGTGCACGCATGTCATCTGCCATAATACTCTCAATCTGACATTTTACCCTTCAGTGAGGGAGGGGTCGTCTGTCTTCAGGTAACGCTCCTGACTAAGCCTGACTTCACGACCTCTGACCTCCACAGTGACCAGTGGGAAGCCTTCCTGCAGCGTCCAGGTGTCCATGATGGCCCTGACATCCAGCTCATCATCGGAGTACCATTTCTACATATACAAACACAAATACACACACACATAGATACACAATAATTAACATCATAAACAGTGACAGATATGTGACACAGCTACATGAAGGTACTATAGAAACAGTTAGGAAATACAGAAATACTAAATTTGTGTAGTATGTTGTAAAGAATCATGTATGTTAAAGATTTCTGCTGGTGATCATAAAAAATACATAGTGCGAAATTCCACTCTGATTATTTAAAGGGATAGTGCACCCAAACATGAAAAGTCAGCCATTATCTACTCACCCATATGCTGATGGAGGCTCAGGTGAAGTTTTAGAGTCCTCGCAACACTTGCAGAGATCCCAGGGGAGAGGGGGTAGCAACACAACTCCACCTAATGGAAGCTTACGGCGCTCCAGATTCAAACGTCCAAAAACACATAATTGAAACCACAAAATATCTCCATACTGCTTGTCCATAGTGATCCAAGTGTCCTGAAGCTCCGACATAAAAAGTTGTTTGGAAAAATGTAATTTGATCTCTGTTTTTAGCCTCATTGTAGCCTGCAGCTCTAACTGCCTCTCTGTGCACCACGTTCACATGTGTGCGCTTGCGCGAGACCGTGAGACATGGGCACCGCTTTCAGCTTCAGGACACTTGGACACCCACTCTCCCCTTGGATCTCCGCAAGGGATGTGAGGCTGAATTTTCATTTTTGGGTGCATTATCCCTTTAAATAATCAGAGTGGAATTTCACTATCCCTTTAAGCCTACTGATGTTAATGTAGCTATGATAACAAGAGTTTGTTAGCTCAGTCAAAGTGCTTTGTTGGACCTGGTTGAAACTTACAGAGGCTCCAGACTGGACATCGCGCTTGGAGCAGAATTCTTGGTGTTTCATTCGGCTTTCGTCCAGACCATCTGAGCTGCAGACCTGGAGGAGAGACACAGAAAACTTTAGCAGTGAATCAAAACAGCACCAACACTGGCAGTACTACTGATACTTCAGGGGTACACGAGCAGGAATATGAACTATGGCAAATTTTCTTCAAAAAATATTTTTATGACAAGCTGAGAAACAGGCAAAAACACTCATGCACAGGTGTCCAGGACAAATCCATTACTTACATGACTGGCCTCACTCCTTACAGCTGACTTATTTTGGTTTACAAAATCCAAATTTACAGCACCATTTTCTAACCTCTGAGAGTCCACCTCACTAAAATGGATCGGTATTATAATTTCAGCATTGTAATTATGGTGTATCCCTCACACACATCATTACTCACATTAGTCAGGCTCTCCCACAGATGACTGTTGACAGTGTTCTGGTAGCTGTAGCGCTTGAGGTATCGGATGATGCCAATCTCAAATGCTTCAGGCGTCAGGAAGTCCCGCAGCATATTCAGAATACATGCTCCCTAAAAAACAAACACAGGCATGCTGAAAATTAACAATTTAAATCCTTTTTGTTGTGTGAATTTGTGCTTTTAGAAGTGGTTTTAACTGAATTTTAATGTTTTGTTTTGGCTGCAATTTGGGTTGAGATTTGGGAATGATTATCACTTTTACACATTATCCAAGTGCAACAACAGCAAATCGTTGATGCTCTGACAGAATGAGGCTGACCTTGTCATAAGAAACGTCATCAAACATCTCCTGGATCTGCGTGGGGTTTTCCACGGGGGTGGAGACTGGGTGGGAGGAGCTGAGGGAGTCTACTTCCATGGCCTCAAAACATTTCCCCAAGAAGAAGTCATCCTGGGAGAAGAGAGAGGACAGAAAATGTAAAAAATATCTGAATTAGTATAAATAAGAAGGATACTGCACTGTATACTGTACGGCAGACAGAGGATCAGGCTAATTTGTGTGCTCTGACTGGACGTTCTGTGCTCGGCTCTCACCACTTGCAGCTCTGGGTAGGTGATGTCGAGAGAAATAAACTCCATGAACTTTGCGAAACCCTCGTTGAGCCACAGGTCGTTCCACCACTCCATCGTCACCAGGTTCCCAAACCACTAGACAGGAAGAAGAACATGCAAAAGCAGTATTTAGCATACAGACGTATCTTTAAGTTTAGAGATAGCAGCTTCCAACATCAATCATCTCCTTATAAAAGCAGAGCAATTTCTATTTGTATCGTCCTAGCCTGGGTAACTTTGTACAGAGCGCTGACCTGTGGCACCAATTAGTTCAAAACAGATGCAGGCCAGCTACCTGGTGTGCGAGCTCATGGGCGATGACCTTGGTGATGCCCAATTTGTCTGAAGCTGAGGACCTGTCAGGGTCGAAGAGGAGGCCCGTCTCTCTGTAGGTGGTCAGCCCCCAGTTCTCCATCGCACCTGACTGGAAGTCTGGGATAGCAGCGAGGTCTGCAGGGAACAACATCACGCACATGAATACAAATGCTTTTTTTAAGATATCATTTTAAACATATTGCTGTTTTAATGTCTTTAAAAACACTGCATGAATTGAAACGCCCTCTTTATTTTCCATTTTTAATATGTATACTTAATATGTATATGTATATAACAACAAATGTTATATCTAGTCAGAGCAAAGAGCACTTGCACTGTAAAACGCCTACATTTAAATTTACATATATGCAATGTTCATTCAAAGTGACCTCACATATCACAGTAAGACATGAGATAGGATGGATTCTGGATGTCTGCACAAAGGACAGACATTTGCCGTACAAACCACAGATCATAAGACCTCTGACTTTAACACACTGTTTTCAGTGGTTAGAGGGCATGTCATTTATGCTGACTCTGCTCAGTAGCAGGTTCTTTCTTAAGCTGAGTACAGTAAAAATACGTACATTACAACATAAAGCTCCAACTAGCTCAGTCAGTTCTTTATTTTTACATGTATTTCCACTCACCCTGTTTGGGAAGCGGGTATGGAATATCAAAATAGTCATCGTAGAAGTCCAACAGCTTGACGGCAGCATCCAGCGCAAAGGCCGTCTGGTCGATTTTCTCAGGCACAGCGTAGACTGATATCTGATGGCAATCACAGAGAAGAACTGTTACAGCAATATGTTAAGTTTTATCAGTGGAAAGATATTATGTGACAATGACTGTCTGTTGTCCTCCTCACATTGACACCATGCTGGGTGGTCTTGCTCACAGACAGGAAGTCAGACACAATGTAGGCCACCAGGTAAGTGCTCATTTTCACAGTGGTATCGAAGTGATCTTCAAGTAAACCCCCCGGCAGCTCCACAGTTTTTACCTGAGAAATGAAGGCCTCGATTTTGTCAACCTGCTCTTACTTAAGTAATTCTTCATCCGTGCTTAAAGGATAACTTCTATATTTTTTGACTTTTTTCTCATGTTTTTGTATTTAAGTGACTAATGGGAACAATACTTTTTGAAATTGATCTACATTGAGCGAGACAGCACTCATGGCATTTTGCGCCATCACATTACTGCATGTCCACTACACCTTTTTGTTAAAGAGTAAGATCCTTTTTGTTTGACCCAAAACAGCCCCGAAATCGCCACCGCCTAACACACCAGACTCCATTTACATAAATAGTAATTTTAGAATGTAAACAGCCAGCACATTTTCACATATAACTGGGTGAATTAAGAGTTCATTCAATCAAACCAGAGTTGGTGATTGCTGCAACAGTGGAAAGACAAACCAAGACAATTTTTGTGGGTTTTATTTTGTTTCTGTCAACTTGAAATGGTGTGTTTTACGATGATTAAATTACTGGTCTGGTGGGTTTGGCGATGGCAATTTCTAGGCTGTTTCTGATTGAACAAAAAGGATTTTACTCTTTAACAAAAAGATTTCTCTCTGTAGTGATCCTTGCCATAAACTGACAGACACATGTCAGTGGCAGAAACAAGCACTTTTAGTAGAACATGCCCTGGCTGGCTACTTTGCACCCTGTTTCATTAGTGCTCAATACTGGATCAATTCCCAAAACTGTTGCTCCCTTAAGTCACAAAAACGTTGGGAAATAGGGTTCAGGTAAATACCAAACTTCCCTGGAAAATAAAGTCAACTGATATTGCTGTGTTCATGTGTACCTTGGGCATGTTGGAAATGGCAATGTGGCGTGGCTCTCGTGTGATCCGTATGGTGAAGTTGGCTTTGAAGGCGGGCTCATCAAAACAGGGGAAGGCTCCACGAGCAAAGGTGGCTTCAAACTGCGTGGATGCCAGAACCCTGATAATGAAAATAGATAATAGTAAAATAAAAGTGATGTCATGTTTAACATAACATGCTGTGAGAAGATTAGACAGCTCCTTTAAAAGAAATATAGAAAATAAGATATTCATGCTCCTACCGGACCTCCCCAGTGCTGGTGCGGTAGCTGCTCTTGTAGAAACCATGGAAGCTGTCAGACAAGTTGGCTGCGAACTCCATCTGAACTTCATACCTCCTACCTTTGGTCAGCACAGAGTCTGACAGCAGGGCGAGCTGATGGGAACGAGGATACTCCAACACCTGCAGAGGCCTGCTGCCTTCAGGTGTGAGGAGCAGCACATTGGATATCTGCAGCTTCTTGGAGTGGAGAACGATGGTGCTGGTGTCTTTGTGCACGTCCAGCTGGATGCGAACGACTCCGGTGAAGTCGAGGGTGGTCAGGTTGGGGTGGATGGTCAGGTCATAGTGGATGGGGGAGACGGTTTTAGGGAGTCTCATGCGGTCCCAGGGGAAGGGCTGGCCGTTGGTGGCTATGGGGGCATCCTTGGCTTGGCCTTGGTTTGGTAGCCCGGCTCCTGATGAGGGAGGGAAGGGAAGGAGGAGCAGCAGCAGCAGGAGAGGTGCAGCTAACATGATGAAAGCAGGAAATCCTCTCACCTGTAATACAAATATACAAATGCATGATTATGTTCAGGGATACTCTCATTTCCTGAGGGCCTGTTGATAGAGACAAGTCTTAGCCTTAGACTTTATTGTCTATTGAAAGATTTAGTATCACATTTCTTGGGTTTGACATTTTTAATAACCATTTAACTTTTATTAAAACTCAAAGCTGCATAGTTAATCAAACACACAGTGAACAACAAGGCACAAACACGACAGGTGAGCTGGAAGTGCAACACTTTCGATTTCACACAAATGTCCATTCATTTATGTTCACGGATATCTGTCGAGAAAAACTCATATTTCAACAAAACTCAGGCCTCATATCGTTTATTATCTGACATTCTTAACATTAAGCATTTGTTTTGTATATGTATAATATAGTGAACTTACCGTGTCATCTGCAGCACTAAGTGTTCGCACATATAATCCAAGAGTGAAAGTGAAACAAATGAAGGAGGTGTTGTATGCTGGGAGAAACCACAGGAAACGTCCCCTGCGTCAGATTATTAGTTTTGGTTATTTAATGATCTGCAGCTGAGGTGACGTGACTGTAATTAAAAATAGCTTCTTTTTTTTTAATTTCAGGATGACATGTCATAACTGCAGCTTCTCTTGACAGTCCAGGAAGTACGAGTTACAAAGACTTCCGCCCCGCTTTTGTCCAAATGCAAACACATTTTCTAAAATTGTATAACTGTATCACTCCATTGTGGTTATAAAAGGTTGCCAACACAAGTGCGACTACACCTCACAGTAGGAAACAGAAGGAAACATCTACAGTGAACAGGAAGTTCCGTGTTGTCATGGGCTGCAATGACACATCTCACCAGTAGGGTGTGCCATTGCTTTGATAGTGGTTCCTGTAGTTTTATGTCTGATGAAGGTCGTCCCTCAGATACATACATTTTACAGAACGAACTGAAATCAATCTGAATTATTTGTACTTTTTCCAACAGCAGGATTTAGTGCAAAATTAGAAAACACTTCCTTCCAAACTCTTCCATCCAGTGGTGTATGGTAGTCAGGATGGGCCCCGGTGCACACTGTATGATGATGGGCCCTAGTGCCAGGTTTTGCATCAAAACAGCAACCTTGTATTTCATAGTCTCGTCACATGATTCAGTTCATACTTTGGACAGCATCAACATACATATCACCAGTCATCACTGCAAATCTGTATATGACAAACAAACCAAATCAAATAAGAAATTATTCATTAAATTTTAAAAAAAAAATTATTTATAGTTTATGTAAAATAAACATGTAATTTTATTATAGATTTCTACTGACTGCTTCACAAAAGAAAAGAAGACACATTGACAGAGATAGGTTTGCCTTCTCGAGGGCATGTGTAGCAGATAACTTTTTACCTGTGTTCATCTTTGAACACAGGAGTATTTCTGAGGTGGCAGGTTTAATCACTCGCATGGGTCCGTTCTGCTCTGGAGATAGTGGGCCCTCCAACCACTCTCTACTGGGCCCCAGTGCGACCGCATTGCCTCCACTGTCCATATTTACACCGCTGCCTCTGTCCCATTTTGACCCATTCCCATGAGCAACAGCAAAACACACAGTTTATGATTTATAGCTTGCTAACTATGCTGTAGCCTATTCAGACCATATAATACATATAAAAAAAGGTTATAAAAACTTCAATCAAAAGACACACAACCTTTAAAAGGACCCTACAGCTGTGTGTGATTTGGAACTTGTACTACAGGTGGATCATTTGAGAATGGGTGGTTAACAAATAACAAGTTACAAACATGAGTAAAACTGGTATTTTTTCATGTCTTTTTAAAACTGCACTTTTTCCCTTAACTTGAGTATACTTTTTAACCAGTGGTCTAAGTGGAGCTGCATGTCATGGAAGAAAATAAATGCTAATAAAGTAACAAAGAAGTATGGAAGTTTTGCTGGTTCCCTGAAAGTAAACTTTCTTCTGCTGACTTGTTGGATGATGTCACCAGTGGTGGATAAATAAATACATTTCAAATACATTTTCATATTTTTTACACTTCACGATAAATGTACAGACACAGAAGAAATGTGTGGTCAACGGTTAAAAGTCAAAATTAAATGTGAAGACATGAAAACATGGCAAACTCTTAAGCACTATATTGTAAGCAGCTGAACTTGCTTGAGTTTCTTGAAGACGTTTCCCTCTCATCCAAGAGGCTTCTTCAGTTCTAACAGACTGGTGCGCTGTCACAGGCTTTAAACTCTGTGTGGGTGTGAACCCTTAGAAAGTCATTGAGTTCAAATGTGAGCTCTGAGCTTCAGAGTTGTTAAGGTCACATGTCATAGAGCCCCTCGGCTATGACCTGGATGGCTGAAAATCTTCACAGACAACATGGCAAACTATTGATCTTGTCTTACACTATCAATCACATAGTCCTTTAAGATGACTGATGATTACCGTCACTGATTTTATATAGTGATGTAACATTTAGAGTAAGTGAAAAATTAAATAATCTGAGAGTTCTTGGACTCTTAACCATTTCACTTCATGCATATGATATTACTCAAGTAAAAAACCTGAATAACAAATAAAACTCTTTTATCTATTATGTTCTCAGATTAAAACAATACATGTGAAATTCACTTTTATTATGGTCCTAAGTGACAAAAAGTTTTCTAAATCAGTCAAAAACATCTTAAAATGAGGCGTTGGTGGCTTAGTGGATAGAGCAGGCGCCCCATGTACAAGGCCATTGCCGCAGCGGCCCTTTCACACTTAGCCTACCTGTCCATTAAAGGTAAAACACCCCAAAAAATATCTTAAAAAAAAACAAAAAAACCCATCTTTAAATAAATTTTCATAAGATTCTTTTTTATGCCTCCACGCCGGTAACAGCTGTGGCCAGACGTGTTTCATGTCGTCATTATGTCCATCCCATTCTCAAGAACACAATATCTTAAGAGTGTCTTAAGGAAATTTATTTAAAATTGGCACGTGTCCACTTGGACTCAATGACAAACTGATTAGATTTTGGTGAACAAATGTCACTGTGACCCCACAAAACATGTTTTTGGCCATAACTCAAGAATTCATACAATAATTTTGACAAAACATCACACAGATTTCTAATAAAACGAAACTAAGAGATGACATTTTATATCTAAAAGGTGAAAGGTCAACTTTACTGTGACATCTAATGTTCTGCAAAAACACAAACACCACAAATGAGTCTGGACAGACATGGAGTGCAACTTGACTGGTTCGCAGAGGCAGACAACCGCAAGACGGTAATTTCAGTTTATATATAGTTTTTATTGCTGAAAAACATAAGCAAACAATAAACACACTGCTGGTTTGCAGGTCACCATTTTTACATATTTTCTGTTTGTGCTGTTTGTTGTGCTGTCCACTTGCACAACAACAGCACCACACATTACAGAAAATATAATAAAAAATTAATTAATTAAAAAGGTAAAGACAGTAATAACCAAAAAAACAAACAAATTCTTAAGTTCATTTTTCAGTATGATCGCACAGGTTGAATATTGACCTAGAAAAAGTCATATGCCACCCTAACAAAGATTGTGTTTATGTGATGTTGGCATACAGAATGAAAGACATGTACTATTGCAACTCACAAGATCCATGAACAATTTTAGCCCCTCAAATGATCTTAGGTGATTTTTTATAGGCACAGACAAGACTGTCCTAGTTATGTTGCATACTTGACTGAATTGTTGAAACAAGATGATGATGTTTGGTATTTTTATATATGTACTGACAGATTGTGTTGTACATTAGATAGCTGAACATAATGTTTTTATTTGATTATGTAAAGTTAGTTTATATATTTATTTTTTCATGTTTAAGTCTATAAAGTAACTATTAATGTAATAAAGAATAGCTTTCATCATATCAAACATGCCCCAGCTGTAAGTAAAAGTCATTTTCACTCACACAGCTGTTCACTGTGTTATGAGGCCAAATTGGGGCATCATAAAAGGCAATGTTGTTTTACAGCAATGAATTCTGATTAATAGATTAAACATTAGGTTTTGTTACAACATGTCAGTTTGTTCATCCTGTATTTAACCCTTAGTACTGTGTGAACATTGGAAATAAATCAAATTAATTTACACCCCCCTCACACACATACGCAAAGGGATAAAGTCCATCCCATCCGCAAACATTAATGAGTAAACTTTACAATGAGCATGTCTCTCTCTTATGGGAGGTCACTCCAGCAGCTGCACTAGTCTTGCAGCGATCATTTGAGAGTCAGATGCAAGGATTTTTTACTTACATAAGCCTGGATTCATAAGCAAAACCACAACATTCCTGAACTTTGAAGAGAGCTCACTGTCTGGCACAACATTTAGGAGGATCAGTTTTCTGAAGACCTAATTCCAGGGAGGAGAATGATAAAGCAGGTGCTGATAGGGATCGTGTGTGGTGCTGTCGTGCTGACTGTGGGCATCCTAATTGGCCATTATGGCATCACCAAGAGCAGCAGCTCCGCACCATCCTGGGTGAAGGATGTGGCGAAGGATGTGGACGAGAGCTTCATTGAGAAGTTCTTGTCTGAGGTGGACAACATCCAGATTCAAGAAAATCTAAGGTGAGCTGATCTGTGTTGGTCAGTCAGTTATGGTTTTTTATTTTCTCAAGTGATAAAATAAAATAGGAAGTCAAAAAAGGAGTTAAAGTTTGGATTGTAGAAAATTTCAACCTCTATACAAGCAACTTAAGCATTTGTGTCTCAGTGTATAAAACCCAAAGGCTCATGTATATTGTATATGTCTAAATATTTCTTGAACAAGCTCCAGTGGGTCAGTTGATCCTTTCATGGTTTCCCCAAGGATCCACTTTAAATTCCTCCCAACCCTTTTATATACAGTACAGTATCCAAAACATCACAGGATCAACCCATTCTTTATCCTCATCTCTCTCCACAGGGAGCTGACCAAAGTGCCTCATATGGCCACCACAGCTGGAGACGAGCAGACAGTGCAGTATATGCTGAAGAGATGGCAGGACCCTGACACTGGTCTGGACCAGGCCTGGAGAGAGGAGTACATGGTGTACCTGTCCTTCCCAAACCCTAAGAAGCCCAACAAGGTCACTGTGGGTGAGTCAACAGATGAGTCAATTATGGTGTTAGAATGAAAGTGGGGACAGTCACACCGTCCTGCTTCATTCAGCATGTTTTTAAATGCTGAAATTTATAATTCGTCACGGAGCAGCGTGTAAGATTTAGTGGTATGCAGTGAGGTTTGCAACCAGCTGAAACTTCTCTTGTGTGCCAAGCGTGAACTCCTGGCTAGAATTTCTTTAGTGTTTATTGTTCAGGAGGTTTTAGCCAGGACCTGAATTATTTGCAGATGTCTCTTCCTCTCCAAAACAAATGGACCTGCTGATTTAAACTGGTAAAAAAAAAACACTAAGTAAAGCATCTCTAACGCTGCTCATGGAGGGGCTGCTAACTACGATGGCCTACGTGAGTTGCCCTGTCTAGAACCAGTGTTTGGTTTGTCTGTTCTGGGCTACTGTAGAAATATGGTGGTCCAACATGGCAGACTCCATTGATGAGGACTCACTCCCTGTGTAGATATAAATGTCTCACTGTGACGTAATGAAAAGACAAGGATTCTTATTATCAGGTGATTATACACTAATGAAAATGTAGTTATTCAACCCAGTCTCATTCCGAAGCCATCAAAATCCAGTGATTGGTTAGTGACTTGCAGCGTCAGACACTGGCAGTATAAATGACAAAATTG